TGTGTTCTAAGGGCCCCTTCCAGCTCTGACAATCTGTGTTCTAAAGTCCCTTCCAACTCTGACATTCTATGTTCTAAGGCCCTTTCTATCAGTGGTTTTCTGTGAAAAGGAGCAGCTTGACATTTCTTTCTACATAGACAATAGGAGGACCCTAGATCTCACTCTAAACCTTTAGGAAACAGGGTTTCTTTGTTAGACTTTCCCTCAACATACAGGAACAACCATCCAGGCTAGAATCAGGCCCATTAAGTCAAGCATATCTGAGAAATAGGCCTAGATGGCTAATGTCTTATGCATCTAGTTACTCTATTATTAGGTTAAGAAGAGGAGCCACCTCCTCCACTCCCCTCACCCCTAAGGCCTTTCACCTGGGACAGAAACCACTCCCCTCCATCTGTGGCAGGATTTGCCTCAAATGATCTGAAATGGGAATCATTCCCACTCTACCAGGTGCTGATGGATCTTTTGTGGACCTGTCTTCCAGCTTTGGCTTATTAAAAGATTTACTCACTGGATCAATCTTGTACTCCATACCAAGGGAAATTTCTGGAGAATTCCTCTTTCATTAGTAAGGAGCTATCTCCCTCCCCACCCCACTGTCTTTACAAGTCTCCTGGCTTCTATGCTTCTCTGTATTCGTCTCAGAGAGATTATGTATCTTCCCCTTACCCCCCCCAAACCCTGCCGTTATGAGCCTCAACACCTGGGGAAATGGTGCTCCCAGAGAAATGAAATGAGAACTGGTGCTCTCTTCCCTGACAGGAAGAAGGGACCAGAGCCCCTAAATTGACTGCTGGGAGGGAATGAGGAAATAGGTAGAGAAGTCAATCCATAGCCTTCACCTCCTTCTCTCTTTTTTAGATTTCCAGTGCAACCTGGAGGCTGTTAGTAAGAAGGCCTTTCCCTCAATGCATTCATCCTCCCTGAAGGCAGCTGGTATCAGGCTATTCAGGAGACCTAGGTCCTAGTACCTCTTCCTTACTAGCTGTGCAATTGGGACCAAGACAATCCCTTCTCTGGATCTTACAATATAAAATGAGGTCTCTCGTGTCTCCCCCCACTTCTAACACTGTATGTTCTGTGCCATAAATGTTCTCTTCATTCTTAAATCGTCCTATAGCATTCTGGATCTCTCCTTTGCCACCATCAAAATCTATCTTGTATTATATTTATCTGGGTACATGGCATAGCTCCACAGTAGACTCTAAGCCCCCTTAGGAAGGGTGTCATTTTCTATCTTTTTATCCATAGTACCCAGTACTTAGTAGATTAATAAATATGTATTTAAATGGAATGAAACTTTCCATCCGTTAACATTTTATGCTCTAAGGCCCGTTCAGCTCTGAATTTCTGTGTTCTGTTTTGAGGTCTCTTCCAACAATGACATTTTATGTTCTAATGGAGGTTTCAGCTCTGACATTGTAAGGTCCATGAAGTGAAGATACCTGTTTCTTGGCTAAAGAAGGAAATCTAAAGAGGTTAAATGGGAGAACTCTGTCCCCTAGGGTCCTGAGCACCCTTCCCTGGATGCATTTCATCCTGCTGGACAGCAAGTCAGAGTCATGGGTTCATAAACTGAAACACATACAGCAACTTTAGATATAAGCTAGACTCATCAGCCCTGGACACCTAAGAATGAGCCGGGAGATGGACTGCGAACAGATGGTCCTGCTAATTCTGTCTAAGGCCATCTTTGGTGTTTTTCACTTTAACCTGATTTCACAGACATACAAATAATATTGAGGGAGAGAAATGGTTCACAGCAAAATTTGTTCCTTTGCTCTCTGTGGGTGGTCTTGGGTACTTGCAATATAGTAGAAAGGACATTGGACTTGTAGTTAGGAAACCTGGGTTTGACGGTCCAGTTTCAATACTTGGTATCTGTGTGACCTTGAACATCATTTTACTTTGCATTTTTCACTTTAGTTTCCTCATCTATAAAAATGAAAATCAGAACATGTGCTATTACCTCAAAGGGTTATGATGAGTAAAGCCTTTTGTGAATTTTCAAGGGATATATAAATGTATGCTGGCATCATCCTCATTATTAGAGATAGTCCTGCCTAGAATATGGAGCTTAGAGGCCTATAACCCTGAATTGAAATGAATTTAATTGATTGAACTCATAGTCTTTGAGCAACGGGGGTCCTCCCCATCCTTGGCGTCTTCTCCTCCCTGCTTACACCACTACCTTCCTAGGGCTGTAGGTACTTCCTGATGGGTGGAGTCAGGGAGGGGCTGGGGCTACTTTAGACACCCTTTTCCCTAATCCATGTTCCTTCATCGGAGGCGCAAATAACTGGCCTGGGCTTTCGGAAAGAAAGAGACCAGAATAACCTGAGACATAATCATAAAACCGAATGCCCCGTGGGGCAGGAAGGAGGCACACCTTTCATCGGTCTCTGTCTTTGTCCAACCTGAGAGAGAGAAATTGCTGCTGTTCAGCTCAGTTCAGCAAATAGTTATTGATTGAATGAGTGAAAGAATGAGCCAGTTATTAAGCACTTATAACTATGTGCAGAGCACTGGGGATGCAAATAGAAAAGTCCGATAGGCCTGGCTGTCAAGGAGTTCGAACGCTAGTGGAGGTGGCCCCACCTCGGGAGGTTTTCAGCTGCAAGTCGCTGAACAGAGCCCGCGGTCCTTAGGGCGTAGCATCAAGCCCCGAGATGGTCACGCATCCTCGTAAGGGTCACGTCACACCCATTTACACTGTGCACAGCCTTGTGCTCAGTCCTCTGGGGACACATCGAAGAATAGGCCACGGGCCCTGCCCACAGAGTGCTCAAAGGCTCAGCTAAGCCCTGGAAATATGACCAAAAATATCTCATTTGACCACAGAGGAACCATGCGCAGACAGGTGGCTTGGTGGATAGAGCGCTGGGCCTGGAGTCAGCAAGACCCTAGTTCATTCAATTCTGACCCCAGGCAAGTCACTTAACTTCTATCTGCCTCAGTATCCTCATTGTAAAAAATGGGATAATAACAGCACCTATCTCCCAGGGTTGTTGTGAGGATCAAATGAAGTAGTATTTGTAAAGTGCTTAGCACAGGGTCTGGCATACAGTAAGTACTATATAAATGTTAGCTGCTATTATTATTATTATTAGCAGCTAAGTGGTAGAGTGGATAGAGCACCAGGCCTGGAGTCAGGAACATCTGAGTCCAAATCCAGCCTCAGACAATAACTCTGTGACCCAGTGCAAGTCACTTAACCCATGATTGCCTCCGCTTCTTCATCTGTAAAATGGGGGTAACAATATTACCTGCCTCCCAGGGTTGTTGTCAGGACCAAATGAGATAATAATTATAAAGTGCTTAGCATAGTGCCTCAAACACAGGGAGCTCTATATAAATGTTAGCTGTTATTATTATTATTATTAATAATAATAATAATAATAATAATAATTTACACTATTGTTATTTGGATTTCTATCTCATCTTGCCTCTTAGTTGCAAGCCCTGGGACAGGAGTGGGGTGGGGTGGGGCTATTGTGTGTACGGCTTGACTCCTTAGTAACATAACTAGTGGGAGACAACATGGATTTAGAGAAGGAACGACCTGGATTCAAATCTCTCCTTAGGCATTTCACTAGCACTGTGAACGAACCCAGACAGGTCACCTGACCCTTCTGTGCTTCAGTTTCCTCATCTGCAAAATGACGTGTTAGACTTAATGGCCTTCTCAGGCCCTGTCCCAGTTCTGTGATCCTGTGGAGATTGAGACCTGGGGCAGCAGCAAAATGCAGTGAAGGACTCCTTCATTATGGAGAGTGTGGCTGTGTCCTTTTTCCTTGAAATCTTGAACCAGCCTGTGACCACAGACGAGTCCCTAAAATGAGATAGTTAGACTAGATGGCCCCTGGGGTCTGATGCCATCCCCCCACCCCAATTCTAATTCCTACCAGCCTAAGTCACTTTCTCTGGACCCAGGTTTTCTCATCTGTAAATGGGATCATAATACTGATAGTGCCTACCTCGATGGAGTCTTGTATCGACAGTGTTTTGTAAGCCCAAAAGGGCTGGAGAAAGGAGAATTATTTTTTGTATGCCACCACTGGGCCTGTTTGTTGTTCAATTTCAGTTGTGTCTGACTCTTCTTGACCCCATTTGGGGTTTCTTGGCAAAGATACCAAAGTGGTTGGCTATTTTCTTCTCTAGCTCATTTTACAGATGAGGAAAACTGAGGCAAACAGGGTTAAATGACTTGCCTGGGGTCACACAGCTAGTAAGTGTCTTGAGGCCAGATTTGAACTTAGTAGATAAGTCTTACTGACTCCAGGCCCAGTACTCTATCCACTGTGCCACCTAGCTGCCCACAGTATATGCTTAGTAATGTCTGTTGAATACATAAATGCATGCATGATTGAATGCTCCCAGTTCCACCTCTCCTCTGTACTTTAACCTGTGGCCCCCAGCGTGAGTGTCCCAGGTTCTCTAGCTCCTTCCTTAGCCTCCAGGACCAAACACAGCTCTGTTTGGCATTCAGAGCCCTTCATCTCCCAGCTCCCTCCTACATTTTCAGTCTTCTTATATCCTATTCCCCAACATGAACTCTTTGATTCAGTGACCCTCGGCTCCTGGTGTACCATGAGCAAGACATTCTGTCTCAGCCCCAGGCATTTTCTCTGGTTGTCCCCAATTCCTGGAATTTTCTCCCTCTTCTGCAGCACCTACTGACCTCCCTGGCTTCCTTTAAATCCCAACTAAAACCATGCTTTCTACAGGAAACCTTCCCCAATGCTTTTTAATTTCAGTGCCTTCCCTCTGTTCATTATTTCCTGTTTATCCTGTATGTAGCTTACTTTGTCTATATTTGTTTGCATGTTGTCTGCTTCATTAGATTGTAAGCTCCTTGAGGGCAGGGACCGTCTTTTGCCTCTTTTTGTCTCCCCAGTGCTTAGCACAGTGCCTGGTAGGTGATTGATAAATGTTGATTGCCTGATTTTTGTTCTGTGAAAGACCCCAAAGTCTGCAGCTTCTTCTTTATCCTTTCACAGCTTTGCAACTCTCAGGCTTCGACTGGCAGATGCAGGCTAACAAATATGCCCATCACACAGACAAGTACTACATTAATGAGCTGACCACAAGGAGGGGCCAGCCCTTTTACTTGAAGTTGTCCTTCAACAGACCCATTGCCTCTGGGGAGAGGCTGACCTTCACAGCCTCAACAGGTGACTGAATTCTTTTTTTCTCTTTCTCTCCCAGGGTCTAGCATAATGCTCTACATACAAGGGACACTGAATACATTGTATTAAATTTACTGCTTCAGCATGGTGTGATTAGCATGAAGACGCATGATGTAGTAGAAAGAGCCCTGGACCAGGATGCGAGAGATCTAGGCTCTGTGTGACTTCTCTAGGTCTGTGCTGGATAATGAGCAAGACCCCTTCAAGCTCTGTTGTTGTTCATCGTTTCAGTTGTCTGACTCTTCATGACCCCATTTGGGCTTTTCTCAGTAGAGGTGCTGCAGTAGTTTGCCATTTCCTTCTCCAGCTCATTTGACAGATGAAGACACTGAGGCAAATGGGGTTAAGTGACTTGCCCAGGGTCACACAGCTAGTAAGTGTCTGAGGCTGGATTTGAACTCAGGTATTCCTGACTCCACTGCACCACCTAGCTGTCCCTTCAAGCTCTAAAATTATCTGATTTGGTGACTTATAGGGGCAGTAGCAGTTCAGCGTTTTCCTGGAAATTATATGACCTGGGTTCTTATCTCTGGTCCCCTCTCTGTGCCTCAGTTTCCTCATCTAGAAAATGAGAGATATTAGACATAACATTTCAAGATCCCATCCAGCTGTGATAGTCTGTGACTTCTTCAGTGACTCAGCCTGACTCTGGCTATGACAGTGTTCAGTTTCACCTACTCTATCCTAACTCCTTGTTCAGATATGCTACATGGATTCCATTGTTCTCTGTTGTTTTTGGAAAGGTCCAAACCCTTCTGAATCAGCCCGGACCAAAGCCGTGATTCCTCTGTCTACTGGGTCCAGTGGTGGCTCCTGGAGTGCAGTACTCTCCTCCAACAACAGCGACGGCTCTGTGACCGTCGCCATCTCCAGTCCAGCCAACGCCCCTATTGGTCGATATACGCTCAGCATTCAGATTGCCTCTGAAGGTGGAAGCACCTCCACAACTCTGGGGACGTGGGTTCTGCTGTTTAACCCCTGGCTACAAGGTAGGAGCCAAGCCCCAGACCAGGTCATTACCCCACCGCTGGGCTCCCACTCCAGGTGCAGCTCCCTGCTCACAGAAGAAGAAGGGCACACTGCAAAGAGCCTTGCCCCAGGAGGCAGGAAAGCTGGGTCTTAATGTTAGTTCTCCCACTGCCTTGGGGTCACCTAGGCACTTCGCTTCCTATCTCTGGGCCTCACTTTCTCTGTGAGGGGGTTGGGCTAAGTCATTTCAAAGGCTTCTTGTGGTCGTAATATTTTACATCCTAAATATCCTTTCAACTCGAATGTTGTGTGTTCTGTGTTTTCTCTAGTTCTGCCATTGTATGTTTTGAGGTCATTTCCATCTCTGATGTTCTGCCTTCCATGCTTTAAGGTCCCTTCCAGCTCTGAAATCTCTGCTCTACGTCTTGCAACTCTATACATCTCTGTTCTGTCGAAGGCTTGTTATATCTCTAAAGTTCAGTGATACTCACTGGAGTCGGGGCAGTGGGTCAGAGACTTTCAGAGGTGAGTTCTAGCACAAGGACTTTATGCATCAATAATATTTCTGTCCCAGTAAGTCAATGAGACAGTGATTTAACATTCAGTAATTCTACGACAGCATCAATGCCTTTAGATTTGATGACAGCATTGCAGTAAACTAGTAATACCAAATGGCTTCCTGGTGGTGTAGAGAGCTACTGTTGCACATTTTCCAAATTTCAGTACTGCAGCACAGTTATTTCATCTCTTCAGCCTGAACTCCTAAAGTATCTCTGTTTATTTTAATCATAGGATCTAGAGCTGGTTGGCAGCAGGACCTTTCTCCAACCTCACTTCCCACCTGCATGCACTGTTTCCAGAGCATGAACAGGTAGTCAGAGGCATCAAGCCTAGACCTGTCATGTGAAGAAGGGATTAGCTCTGTATGAATTGGCTGTAAAGGGCAGAGTCAGAAACAAAGGTCGGAAGATACAGAGGAGCATAATTTAGGCTTAATGTAAAGAAAACTTGTCAGCGATTAGAGCTAGCCGAAAGTAGCACACTCCACTTCACTGGAGGTCTTCAAGCAGATTCTAGATACTTGTCAGGATGTTATAGAACCAATTCCTATTCAGATATGAGCTGGACTAGAGCAAGCTTCATCTGCAAGGAGTCACAGACCCCTTTGGCAGGCCAGTAAAGCCAGTGAACCCCCCCTCACAGAATACCAGTTGTTTGGTTTTTAAAATCGCAATCAAAGACAATGCTAAATGTCAGGAAGAGATTAATGAATATAAAGATGTAACAAGTTCACGGACTTGCCAGAATCTATCCACAGGATCTCAGGTTAAGGGTTCTTAGACTAGAGGATATCTGGGGTCCCTTCCAATTCGGAGACTCTGTGTCAATGAGGCCAGAGCAGGGCTTCCCCCGAGACAGCCAGTCCCAGGCACAGAGGACTGTCTGGAAGGGATGTAAGAAGGAAAGGGTGCTTCCTAATTCTTTTCCACTTCAAACATTTCCTTTTTTGGGTTTTCCAGCGGATGGTGTGTTCATGATGAATAATGCAGAGAGAGAAGAGTATGTGGAGGAAGATGCCGGTGTCATATTCGTAGGGAGCGCAAATCGAATCAGCATGGTTGGCTGGAATTATGGACAGGTAAATTAATAATAAAGCAGCCAAAGGTTTGCATACAAATTTCCCGAGTGATTGACTTCAGAGAATAAGTTGGGGGGCAGCTAGGTGGCACAGTGGATAGAGCACTGGCCCTGGATTCAGGAGGACCTGAGTTCAACTCCGGCCTAAGACACACAACACTTATTAACTGTGTGACCCTGGACAAGTCACTTAACCTGCATTGCCCAACCAAAAAAAAACCCAACAACAACAACAAAGAATAAGTTGGATTCTCATTTGTATATATCTTATGTGTTAGTCATTTGACTAAAAAATATATCCAAACCTTTTTGGCTCCCGCTCTCATTCAAAGCTCCAAGCTCCTGCCTTGCTCTTCTCCCCTCTTTTTTTTTTTTTTTTGGCTAGGCAGTGGGGTTAAGTGACTTGCCCAGGGTCACACAGCTAGTAAGTGTTGTGTGTCTGAGGCCAGATTTGAACTCAGGTCCTCCTGAATCCAGGGCCTGTGCTCTACCCGCTGCACCACCCAGCTGCCCCTTCTCCCCTCTTTCTACCTCTAGTACACAGTGAGATTGAGTTTCCCTAGCTTGGAAAAATGTGTTTGATACATTTTATAGTTGGACCCACCCATCACTTGACCAAGTCACTTTCTTCCCCTGAGCCTAAGGTTCAAATAAGGGGGTTGGACTTTTGTTGTTGTTGAATTGTTTTAGTCATGTCTAACTCTTCATGACCCCATTTGTGGTTTTCTTGACAAAGATCCTGGAGTGCCTTGCCATTTCCTTCTCCAGCTCATTTTACAGTTGAGGAAACTGAGGCAAACAGGGTTAAGTGATTTGCCCACGGTCACACAGCTAGTGTCTGAGACCGGATTCAAACTCAGATCCTCTTTGGCCCTATGCCCTATCCACTGTGCTACCTGTGTGTCTCTAGGGGTTGGATATCATCTCTAAGATCCTTTCTCGCTCTAGCGTTCTTTGTTTTATGGTCTCTTCACCTTTAATATTCTACAAGGTGTCTCAAAAGTCTTAGTGCATTTCTTAGCTTTTAATAAATACCTTATTAACTTTTATTAATACATATTAAGAGCTTAAAACTCTTTCTTTTCTAAGGTACTTTCTGGCTTGGACATTCTGTAATATAACTCACCATTCTGTGAAATGAAAGGGTTGGACTTGGCTATAGGTCCTGAAGGGTCCCTTCCAGCTCTAAATGTATGATCTGTGTAGAAGGTTCCCTCTAGCTTTGGCATTCTAAGACTAGTGTTCAGAACCATGACAAGAACTGTTTTCACCTAGGACAAAAACAGTTTGGGAGGATCCAGTGGACAGCATCGCTGTAGAGGCCTTTCTGACCGCAGGTTCAGTCTCTGTGGGAGAGGACACAGTCTGGCCCTCATCCTCTCAGGGATTGGAAAGACAACAGGACCCTGGGGTGGGAGGAGGTGACCCAGGTGCAGTTAATTAATTGTACAGCCTGATAATGGCCTTTGAGGTAAGTTCTGGGGATGGTCCCTCTCTCTGGGTCTCAGATTCCTAATCAATTAAAAAGGAGGGCTTTGGATCATCTGGCCCTTCATCACCTTTAGCTGTAGAGCTATGAGTGATCTAAGGGCCCTTCTAAGTCTAATATTTTAAGCTTTATGTTCTAAGGCTACTTCTAGCTATAATATTCAGTGGTTCTCTGGCAACCTCAATGACTTTAGATTTGATGACAGCATTGTAATAAACTAGTAAACTGGCTGGCTTTCTGGTGGTGTGGATAGCCACTGCTTCATGTCTTTCAAATTCTTCCACAGCAGCACAAACCCATTCTCCAGCCTGAACCCTAAATTTTTTAATAGGGTCATAGGATTTAGAGCAGGAAGAAACCTTGGGTATTATCTAGTCTAACCAAGAGATTAAGTCACCTCTGTAAAGCCGCACAAGTTAGTGGCAGATTTGGAACCTGGGACACTTTTTTCCTACAGTTTGGGTAAGTCAGCTCAAGGAGGAGACAAGAAAAGTATCATTTGGCTGCTCCTTCCTGGGTGCCAGAAACCGTGGAGTAAAGAGAGCCTGGAGCTTACCTTGTGGCCCTCCCCGAGCACCTCTTTCCTTCCCTCATTACAAGTTACATATTGAATAGTAACGCCAGGCTTCTCTCTCTGAACAGTATGAAGAAGACATTCTGAACATTTCCCTCATAATCCTGGACAGGAGCCTCAACTTCCGCCGTGACCCGGTCACTGATGTGGCCAGAAGAAATGACCCTAAATACGTTGGCCGAGTGCTGAGTGGCATGGTAAGAAAAGCATCATCCAGCCCATAATTGAGGTCCTAGACAGTTGTAACTCTGACCCTGGCTTATAGTTCTTCTTCTTCTGGCTTTATGGTCAGTGTGGCCAGGGTCTCTGCCCAGCAGGCCCAAGAGACAAGGCAGGGTTTAGTCTACAAAGTCTCGTAGTGTTAAGAGCAAGAACCCAGCCTAAGAGCAAGGAGAGAGGACATTAGGACATTCCTCCCAATGTTCCACATGGGATGGGGAAGGGAAGGGGATAAGCATTTATACAGCACCTACTATGAGCCAAGCGTTTTTACAACTGTCCCCATTTTGCAGTTGCGGAAACTGAGTCAGACAGAAGTTAAGTGACTCATCTAGGGTCACATAACTGAGGCTGCATTTGAACTCAGGGTTTCCTAACTCTAGGCCCAGCACTCTGTCTTCTGTGCCATCTAGCTGCCTCCAGCTCGAGGCTCTGGGAAGTGCCCTGTTCTTGGAATCAGATTTGGATTCCATTTCCAGCTCCAATACTCACTGGTTGGGGGACCCTGGGCAAATGACTTCCCCTTCTGAGCTTTAATTTCCTAATCTATAAAATAAGTATAATAACCCTTATATCTCCTCCCTCTTAGGTATTATTGTGAGGAAAGTGCATTTTAAACCACAAAAAGCTTTAGAGATGTGAACGATTATTATCCTGGCCCCAGCTCTGCCACATCCTGCAAAAGCCTTCATGCATTTGGCAGGCAAGCAAGCGAGCATGTATTAAACGAGGATTGTGTAGTATCCCAGGATATAGGTGAGATACTGAGAAAAAGACTCACACCCCCTACCCTAGCACATGACAGGACGAAGCGCTGGAAGGGACCTAAGATATTACAAAGTTCACTTTACATATGGGGAAACTGAGCCCCACAGAGGTTCATTGACTTTCCCAAGATTACATAGATAATAATTAGAAAGCTAAAAGTCAGGGGCATCTAGGTGACGCAGTGGATAGAGCACCGGCCCTGAGGTCAGGAGGACCTGAGTTCAAATCCAACCTCAGATACATAACACTCACTAGCTGTGTGCCCCTGGGCAAGTCACTTAACCCCAATTGCCTAAAGAAAAAGAAACAAAAAGAAAACTCAGGTCTTCCAAAACCAGTGTTCTTTTTCCCATACCATCCCTGTTGAGTTTATAATCCAATAAAAGAGATGAGACATAGACAAAAAGTAACCCTCCTACAAAATACAGGGTGATAACAGACCAGTTGTCCTAAGTATTCATGGGAAAGCATTACATTACGTATGTTTAGGGATGGGGGGGAGGCGGGCTCAGAGGAATTTTCTTGGATGAAGTGTTATGGGAGCTGGGCCTCTAAGGATGGATATAGTTCCCAGTCCCAGTCTGTCCCAGGATGCAGTAGTGGGAGCTCTACAAGATCACATTTCTGGTACAGCCCTGTCCTCAGGAAGCCTCATCAAGGCACCTCTAGCGTCCACACTCTTCCTGTGAGAGTGGCCTGGTGTCTAGGAACTGGTTCAGCCTCTGTGATAGAAGTTAAAGAAGCTGAGATTCCCAGAATGTTAGAACTGGAGAGTATCTTTGAGCTCAGTGGTTCATCACCTTTGTCTTACATGTGGGAAAGCTGCAGCCCAGAGAAAGGAAGGTTTGATCGCCCAAGGTCAAACCCAGAATTACAAGCACAGTCAGAGCTGCAGTCCAGGGCTCCTCACCCTCAGTGGGGCTCCTTCTGTTGTACCACTTGGCTCCCTACAAACATTTAAAAGTTCAAAGTCAAAGGGATGGCTTTGACTTGTCACGTGTCACCTGGTTAATTAACTAGAAATCTCTTTACCTTTCAACTTGTTAATTAGCTCAGTTGGCTGGTGAATTGACTTAGCTAAAAGTTTAAAAGGTAAAGCAATCTCCATGACTTTGAACTTTTTAACTTTTAACATTTTAACAAGTTCATGAAATGACTTCTTAGATTCAGGTCAGAAACCCTGCCTGTCTGGTCTAGGATGCCAGCATCTCTACTGATAAGCCTTCAGAACATCACCACAAAATCCCACTTTGCCCTCCACTTTCTGGAGATTACTGTCTTCAAAATGCTTAGCCAGAAGCCCTGTATTCTAAGTCTATCTTTGTCACTAAAGTCTCTTCAAATAATTCGTAGACTTTTGGATCCAGTTGGGGTTAAGTGATTTGCCCAGGGTCACACAGCTAGTAAGTATTTGAGGTCAGATTTGAACTCAGATCCTCTTGTCTCCAAGGCTAGCGCTCTATCCATTAGGTGCCCCTAATTCATTGACTATTCCAAAGTCAGGGACCTTAGAAATAGGCTCACTCAGCCTCCTCATTTTACAAGAGGACACAACAGAGGCCTGTAACAAAGAAGGGGTCTACCTAACATAAAGCTTAGTCAATGGCAAGAGTAGGTCTAGAAGCCAGGGCATCATGGTGAGGTGGAAAGATCTCTGGATTTGAAATGAGAAGAACTGGGTTTGAATCACAGCAGTGTGATCTTGGACAAGTCACTTGACTGCTTTGGGCCTCAGATTTCTTACCTGTGAAAGGAGGGGATTGGACTAGATGGCCGCTAAGGTCAGCTGCCACTAGAAGTGTATAATTCTGCACTCTCAGCACTAAGAAGCAACAGCATTGATTAAGTGCTGTCCTTCATTATGTGGAACACTTTGTTTTCTGGGACTCTCTTTGCTGTGCCCCAGCTGCCCATTTATGACTCGGATATTCTAAACATTTCATTTAATAAATTAAATAAACATTTAAGGTGGTCAAAGAAGGCTTCAGAGGGCAGGTGAGACTTTGAAAGCTGAGGCTTCAGAAGAAACAAGAGCATTGAAAGCCAAGCCAAAGATCAGGGGAGATCTGTGCAGAAAAGCCGAAGCCTGCGGCCTGGTGAGGCAGCCAGCGAGGTCCTCCACAGCGCCCAGCCCTCCTCGGTGCACATCCTCCAAGTTGGGCTTCAGCTGCAGCTGCTGACTCATTCCTAGGCCCTCAGGCAAGCTGCTTTATCTCCCCAGAGTTTCCTGAACTACACCTTGGACATGATCCCTCTCAAACTCACTGCTGGGCTGGGTGAACTACACTAATTACCACCTGCACGGCCCTTTGAAAGGATCCAAGCTCCAGGGTAACCCAGCTGATTACTGCTTTCCATGCTGGGGCCCTGGTGATTCAGCAGATGGGGACAGATGGCGAAATCTTTCATCTTGGCCTGTCTGTAACATATCTTATGATCTCAAATGATGGCCCCATCAAAATGGAAGGCGGGGAGAAAGATCTATAGGTCCATGGCCCAACTGCAAACAGGGGAGTGCTAGTCTCTCTTCTAAATAGAATCATAGACATCAGCAGCTGGAAGAGGCCTTGGAACATTAACTGTCAAAGCTTAGTCCGCCCCCATCATTTTATAAAAGAGAAAACATTTCAAAATAAGTCTCTTCTCTGAAAAAAGTGAAGTTGAGAGTCTTTTAAAATTTTTATCTGTAATAGTATAGCAATAACAAAGTCCAGAGGAAATAATAGAAAGAAAGCCCATTCAAAATAGCTACAAAATATGCAAACTATCTGGGAGTCAGTCTACTAAGAAACACTCAAGATATAGATATAGATATAGATATACATCACAAAGCACTGTTTAAGAGAATAAAGAATGACAAGTAATTGAAGAGATATTCACTGCTCATGGTTAAGCTATACAAATGAATAAAAATGACATCATTACCTAAATTAATTTGAAAATTAATGTTCTGTTAATCAAACTAACAAAGGAGTAGTCTGTAGAGCCGTACAAAATAATAATTCATTTGGAGGAACAAAAAGTATAGAATCTTAAGTGAAATAAAATTTAAAAAGAAGAATGAAGAGAGAACAGTATTTCCAGACTTTATATTGTAAAGCAGTAATTATCAAAACTGGTACTAGTAAAAAATAAAACAAGAAAAAAGCACATCAGTGGCACATAATATATAAACAAGAATCAGTCTAATTCAATAACCCAGTAAACCCAAGAATATAAACTACTTCTAGAAGAATTCCCTATCTGGCAAGCACTGCCGGGAAAACTGGGCAGCAGTATGACAGAAATTAAATTTGTTGTTGTTCAGTCATGTCTAACACTTCATGATCCCATTTGGGGTTTTGCCATTTCCTTCTCCAGCTCATTTTACAGATGAGGAAACTGAGGTAAACTGGGTTAAGTGGCTTGCCCAGCGTCACACAGCTGGTAAGTTAGACAAGGTTAGATTTAACTCAGGGAGATGAGTCTTTCTGACTTCTGGCCCGGCTCTCTCTATCCATTGCCCCACCTACCTGCCCGAGAAAGTGAGTTTAGACCATCATTTTATACTGTACGTCATAGATAACCTCCAAATAGAAATATGACCTAAATATAAAAGGTTACACCATAAAGAAATTAGAGTAAAGTGAAATGAGGTATATTTTACAACTATGGCTAGGAAGAGAATTCTTGACTAGGAAATGGACCACAAAAGATAAAATATATAATTTTTATTATGTGAAATTAAAAGACTTTTGCACAAATATGATTAGTAGTATAAGACAGAGGAAACTTATTTTAATGGTTTTGACAAGTTTGGTTAATAACAGTAACAAGAATATTCCCTTCCAGCAAATCTAAAAATAATTTAATAAAGAAGGAGAGGGGGGCAGCTAGGTGGCACAGTGGATAGATCTCTGGCCTTGGAGTCAGGACCTGAGTTCAAATCCGGCCTCAGACACTTGATACTTATTAACTGTGTGACCCTGGGCAAGTCACTTAACCCCAATTGCTTCAGCAAAAAAAAAAAAGAATGAGAGGGAAAAATAGATTTAACAGTTATAATGCTAAATATAAATGAACTGAACTGCTTGAAAAAAAAGAAATGGTTACAAAATGTATTAAAATCCAACAATAGGTTGTTTATAGGAAATACCTTTAATACAGAAAGATTTTAATAGATTTAAATTAAAAGATTGACATAAAATTTTCCATGCTATTGCTAATTCACAAAGAGGATAATACTGAGAATATCAAAGTCTATAGAGGTAGAAACTGAAGCCTAAATAGTGAAAGTGACTGGCCAGCAAGTTGAGGTCTCTTGACTTCCAAGCCACTACTTTTCAGAGGTTCCCAAAGTGAGCAGTACTGCCCCCTGGGAGCCCTAGAGTGGGGGCCATAGTAGCCTTGGGAGCAATTGGGGGGTGTTGAATAAAAATAAGGGGACAGTGGAAACATAAGGAAAGAAGAGAAGAGAATTTTGAAAAACCATTCATACATGATTCAACTGTTGTATAACAGAGTTAAAGTCCTAGTGATTACATTATTTTCCAAATAAACACACAAAATGCAAGTTATAACCAATCAGTGGTCAAGTCCACCAATAGGTCTTAACAAGCAAGTGTTGGCAGGTAAGCATGTCATGCACTATTGGAAAGTCCAGCGTGTGTGGGCAGGAATATGTGTGTGTAATGACTTGTTATATATGATACTATATGGTTACATGACACAATATTACATCATCAGAATTTCAGTGTAGGAAAAAACCACAAATTTGCAATAAATTATTAAATTTAAGATGTGTCTTTTTTTAATTTATATTTTTTTTAAATGATGCAAATTTAAAAAAAAAACAAAGAGTTAAAGAAAGTTTGATTTCCAGAGGGCAATGAGTAATTTTTTTTAAAAAGAGGCTGTAGGCCAAATATGTTTGGGAACCTCTGCTCTATACCATGCTGAGCTCTTCTCCTCTTCTGAGATTTCTTTCTCTCCTCACCCACTCTCCACACATTGCCACCTTTCCTCCTCTCCACATTCGGAGCTGACTGGACACAGGTGTTTTTCAGATCAATGGCAATGATGATAATGGTGTGTTATCTGGGAACTGGAGTGGAGATTACACTGGTGGCAAGGACCCTAGGAACTGGAATGGCAGTGTGGAGATCCTGAAGGAATGGAAGAAAAATCGTTTCCAGCCTGTCCGCTTTGGCCAATGTTGGGTCTTTGCTGGGACCCTGAATACAGGTACCCTGGGCGAAGTGCAGCCTGGCTGGGTCAGTACAGAATAGTGAACTCACTCCCAAAAGCTTGTCCCAAACTCCCATCTCTGAATTAGGAGTCAGGAATCTTGGGTTCCAGTTCTGACTTTGTTAAATTCCCTTTGTGAATTTAACATCACTGAGACTCAGTAGAATGGGAATAATCATATTGTACTATCTGCCTACCAGGGCTGCTGTGAGTTCAATGAGCCTTAAACTGCTATATAAATGTAAGTTATTGTTATCATCTTATTACCTATAGAAAGGGGGAAAATAATAGACTTATCCAAAGACTATTGTCTCTCCACACTAAATGCGGAGAGAATCATGTGGCTGGCCAGAGCACAGCAACACTTAGTAACCCTCTGCTAAATTATAGGGAGGTTGTGACCCGTGCTAGCAGGGGATGAAACTGCAGAGCCTCAGAGCACAGAGGTTAGAAGTAAATGGTGCTCTAAGGCTTACAAAGTGCCATCCGCTTTGTAAGAGGCCCTGTGGCATGAGCATGTCAGCCCCATTTTATAGATGAGGGAGGTGTGGTTCAGAGAACTGAGCTGAGCTGCCAACGGTTACATAACCAACTGTCCGACCCTGTATTCAAGCCCATATCTCCTGACTCTACTGCACCAAGCTAGCCTATAAGATTATTGTGAGGAAATGCTTCTGTAAACAGTAAAACACTATATACATGGAGATCAGCACCACCACCATCATGGGCATCGGCATCGGCATCGGCATCATCTAAGCTGTCTCCCTGGTTTTTGACTTCCAGTGCTTCGGTGTCTGGGGATTCCTTCCCGGGTGATCACCAACTTTAACTCAGCCCATGACACAGACCGCAACCTGACCATTGATGTCTACTATGACGCTCTAGGAAATCCCCTAGACAGAGGGAGTGACAGCATTTGGTAAGCACCTCTCCTGTCCTCTGTACCGACTCCACAACACTTAGACATCTCCTTAATGTATTGTTCCTCAGTGACTCAGCTCCACACGTGGGGTAAGAGGTTACAGAGGTGGCAGGAGGAGAAACGCAGACTCTCGATGACAGACAGACTGATGACGCCTCTACGATGAAACCATTCCGACCTATTTCAGCACACGATCTGACAGAATGGAACACATAATGTAGTGTTTTGGTAACAGGTTACTCAGAAAACCCACTATCACAATGGTTGCTCACTCTTTGAATCAAGCCTAATGAAAAGAAAAATATATTTTGGAAATTTCACTTAGTGCAGACAGTTTTAAAATTATAAAAACTTTGGGTTAGAAGAGTTCTTAGAACTTAAAACTGGAAGCTAACCTAGAAAACAGAGTATCAGAGCTGAAAAGGACCTCAGAGCCAAGAAGTTTTAAATTGCTAGGACCTTGGAACATTTCAGAGCTTAAAGGGAGCACAGAATAGAGCAGGTTAAAGCTGGAAGGTTTCTTGGAGGTATCTAATCCAGACCTCTCAGTCTGCTTAGGACAAGCCTGAGGCTCACAGAGGTTGAGTTATTTGCCCAAGGTACAACTAGTAAAGTGGCAGAACCAAACCTAGAACCTAGACCTCCTGAGTTCCAGTGCTCTTTACAGAATTCTGCTCTGCCACCTGATGCCATTTTAAAGGCCTTAAGAAGTCTTTGGGGGATGCAGTGGAAAGCTCTGGGCAGAATTTCAGATCAGTCCCCTAACCCCCACAGCTGCCTAGCCCATCCAGATATACCAGCAGAGCAGCTCTGCATGCAGCCCTATAGCCCCAGACTCTGCATCAGCCAGGTAGGAGGCCAGGCCTTATGTCAGGATGTTCCTCCAGAAGCAGCCTGAAGGTCCCTCAGTGCCCCTGTCCAAGTCTATGTGAATGCTGCACAGAAAGCTGTGGGATCTGATCCTCACCCCCCTTCTCTTTTTTGCCAGGGGTAGTGGAAACTAAAGATCAGAAGATGTGGGTCCTAGCCCTAATTGTGCCGTTATCTGGCTCTGTGCCCCTGGCAAGTCATTTCCCCTCTAGGGTTCAGTTTCCTCCTATATAAATTGGGGGGGAATGGATCAAATGATCTCTAAAGTCATCTTAAAAATTCTGATTCTCCAGATGTCTCTTCCCTCCCAGTAGCTGCTCCTCCCAGGGAAGCCACACCCTCTTTTACTTAATCCCTGCACTATCAGGGGAAAGAAGGCTGGAGTCATTTAGGCTTGGTAGGTAATTAGGACTTGTCTTTGCAAGAATTTATAGCACAATACAGATGCTATTAGTGTTTAATGGAATCCTATGAAGAATAGATAATAAATCATCTTGATTTTATCCTAAACTATATTCATGCAGCTCTGTTTTTGGTCAGAGTCCATGTGGCAGCACATTTTAGAAAGCTCATCGACAAGCTGGAGCAGGTCAAAGAGAGGAGAGTGGCCAGGATGGGGAGGGGCCTCAGGATCACGGCATGTAACGATAGCTGTCATTTCTGTAGCTCTTATGCGCCAGGCACTGTGCTAAGCGCTTTGCAGTTATCGTGTCATCTGATCCTCGCGGAGGTAGGTGCTATTATTATCACCATTTTACGGATGAGGAAAATGAGGCAAGCAGGGGTTAGGTGACGTGCCTAGGATCATATGAAGCCAGACTTGAACTAAAGTCTTCCCAAATCCAGGCCCAGCTGCTCTATCTCCTGTGCCACCTAGCCGCCCCCTAACTATAAGGATCAGTTGAAGGAATCTGGGGTATTTAGCCTGGAGAAGACTTGGGTGGGAATACAATTGTTGTCTTCAGCTATCCGACACTATCATGGGAATGGGGAAGCAGGCTTATGTCTCAGGTGGCTCCAGAAGGCAGAACTAGAACCAGTGAGGGGATGTTTCAGGGTCTCAGATTTTGGCTCAGTATAATAAGAATTCACTATTCCAAGAACAAACAGAACCATCTAACAAGGAAATAAGCTGATTTGTTATGTAAGCTGTAATACCCATGGTGCATATATAATAGAAGGGATTCATGCTCGGGTGTAAGTTAGAAGCCCCAAATTCCCATTCACCTCTTAAGATTCTGTGATGCGGTAGAACCCAAAGTGATTTTCTGATCCATTATTGCACAGGGTTCCCCCTTCCCTGATTAGCTGATGTTACCTCAAGGACCTACAAATCCCAGTACGGTCAGTTGTAGTCATGGTCTGTCACTGGCCTTCTCCCAGTTATCCCCAGTTGGCATTGGTGGCATCTGATCACAGGGCTGGGGGGAAAGGAGTATCACCCCCTCATTAGCCAAAATCACTGGTGCAGCTAGCTGAGCTGTGTCCTGAGCAAGGTGATCACCACGGGACAGACAGGTCTATATTTCATGATGCCAAGATGGTCAGAATACCCCATTCTGACCTCCCTTTGGGAGGGCACCCTATTGTGTCCGTCCTGCTGGTCAGACCAGAAGGAAAGCAATATTGAGCCAACACAAGGTGTCAGTCCCTCAGATGAAACTTTAGTGTTCCTCAAAGGACCTTTCTTAAATTTGAACCTTCCTTCCCCTGCCCCCACCAAACACCCAAGTCAGAAAATAGAACACCCCCGACATACCCAAACAGGCTTTAAGTCAAAGCCAATTTTTTTTTAATTGTGAAGAGGTAGGAAATATGTTTGTCCAAGGGAAGGACCCTAGGAGTGGAAAAAGTACTTGGCTGAGAGTTAGGAACCCATTTGCTCCATGTATAACCTTGCCTTCTCTAATCCTCATTACAGTTTCCCCATTTATAAAATGAGCCCCAGTTAGACCAGATGATCCTTGTGGGGCCCTTCCAGCCTTAACAGTCCTCAAATACAGAGCAGCAGCTCAAGGGTTAAATCTCATTTTCAGACTATGAAGTTCATCCCATAGTTTGACACCAGATGGCAGAGAGAGTCTTCCACTCAGTATCTACTTCCCCAGGGCTTTTCTATGACTCCTTTGTCTGCTAACATAAATGAAGCCTCAGGCCCAGTCCAGTCCATAAGCATAACCAAATCAGCTGAAACAGCTTAGGCTGTGGTTAACTTTTACCTTGATGTTTCTGTTATGTGCATGTGTCTTTGTGTACATTTCATTTGTCTCTGAGCTACCTTGGTTTTCTAAATCCACAAACTGGATTGCATGTTTCCTGTACTTAAGGAGCTCTTTGGCAGCCCAGCCCTGTGCTCATTGAAGCAGGGTTGGGCCCATTCCAAGAATCATAGATTAAGAACTAAAAGGTGTCTCAGAGGTCATCTGGTCCAACCCCCTTATTTGCAACGTTCCCAAGGTCACCCTGGTCATATATAAGAGGGCATGGACTTGAACCCAGGTCCCCTGACTCTGAACCCAGCAATGTTTCTGTTTTGTCCTAGTAGCCCTTAAATGTTTCCCCTGGTACTGAATGCCTGAGGGGAAAAAAAATCCTTTTTTCTTAAGATTCATAGGATAATAGAGGGTCAGACTCAGAAGGCACCTGAAAGGCCATTTATTCTAACTCTTTATCTTTCTCCCCCAAATCCCCCTGACCAACTATCTAACACTAAAATATTTCCAAGGCTTATGTTATTCCTGATAACATCAACCCAATCATAAACAACAAATATTTTTTGAACACCTACTGTGTATATATTGGGTGATAAAAGTTGGAGGACATTGAGTGTGTTGAAGTTGAAAGATGAACAAGACACACTCTGCCCTTAAGGCACTTACAGTCCAGTTGGAGAAAGAGCAGGAGTGTGTGTGTGTGTGTGTGTGTGTGTGTGTGTGTGTGTGTGTGTTGTGTGTGTAAAAACGCAGCTTGAGATGACTGGTAGAAGCAGTAAGTGTACCAGGTCGTGCCATGTTCTGTAGGATGCTGCACAACCTAATCCCTGAGAGAAGAGAAAGGGCAGGAATAGGGTGCTTTAGGCAGATTGGACAAGTATCCTCATACCTTAGCTCAGACTTAATCACCTGTGACCCATCAGCCAGCCACCTCAGCCCCTTCCACCCCGCAGCTTCATACCTTCAAAGATGAATACTCACCTCCCCTGGACTTTCTTAAAGCCCTGCTTCTCAGAGAACCCATTCCTGGGTGTCTGTCAGTGCAACATAGGCTACAGACCTGGGAGATATTCCCCTCCCCCAGGACAGAATGCTGTCTGGTACCCTTTAAGGAAGAGAAATTTAAGAAATTGATCCATGACCTATGAGACCTGTGGTTCATTTGTAAGGTCATCAACCATAAAACACTGGCCATCAGACCCTTAGAACATTGTCAGATCTGGAAAGGACCTTTGATTATGTAGTCTTTCCCTATCATTCGTTATGCAGATGAGGAAACTGAAGCTCAAAGAAATGAAGTGAGTTGCTTTCTATGAAACAGAGAAATGGCATGTTCTATACCTTCCGGCCTGGAATGATGGAAATTTGCCTGCTATGATTTTCCCTGTAAACTTTCCCTACAAATGTTCCCCATCCTTGACTTGTTACTATTTCCATAGTCATGGAACCTGTGAAATAGGAATTGCTTTCTGAGCTACCCACTGAGATAAGAATGTACATACTGGAGCCAGTCTGGTATAGTAATGGAATATGGAACTGAAAAACAGGGTCCTAACTAGCAGTGTGACCTTGGACAAGTAACTTCACCCCTCTAGGTCTTGATTGGACTGGATGACCTCTGAGATCCCTTCCAGCCCTCACATTTTATGGTCTAAAACCCATCCATGACAGGTCTGCTTTTTTGTTTTCTATTTTCTAATATTTTGTATGCTTAAGTCCCTTCCAGCTCTCGTTTCTGTGAGTTTTTTGAGCCCAAAGTAGGAAAGTATATGCCAAGAACAGTCCGCGTTCTCACAGCTTATTACTTTAATTTCTTCTCCATGGGTAACAGAGCAGAAATTGCTACCTATCAACTCAACCTCAAAATTTCCCTTTCAGGCCAGAACTCTTAATTGCTAAACCCAACTTTGTTTCTCAGTCCTCATCTTTCATGACCTCTTTGCAGCATTAGACACTGCTTACTATCCCCTGGGTGGTCCCTAGGTTTCTGTGACAGTTTTCTTCTGGTTCTCCTCCTGTCTATCTGAATGTTCCTTCTGGGTGTCCTTTGATGATTCATCATTCAAGTTCAGCCTCTAATTGTGAGTGTCCGCCAAGGGTCTAATCTGGGCCCTCTTCTCTCTCTATACTCTACCTTTTATGTGGTCTCATTAGTTTCCATTGGTTCAATGATCATCTCTCCAACTCACATGGCCTACCTCCCAGGAATGTTGTAAGGATAAAATAAGATAATATTTGCAAAGCCCTTTGCAGACCTTAAAACTATATAAAGTATCATTATGCCTAAAATGCACTCCCTCCTCACTTCTACCTCTTAGAATCCTTAGCTCCTTTTAAGGCTTAGCTCAAATGTCACCTTGTACACAAGACCTTTCCTGGTCCCATACCCATCATTAAGGTTCCCTCCTACCATTTTGTATATACTTGTATACATGTTGCATTCCCCCAGTAAAATGTAAGCTCCTGAAGGACAAAGACTAGTTTCATTTGTAGTATTACATCCGAGGCACCTAGCAAAGTGCCTGGCACATAGTAAATGCTTAACAAATGCTTGGTGAATGAAGACCCTTATGGATAAACACTCCTTTGGAAAAACAGTTTTGTTCCAAGGGCTTGATCCCAACTCCCAGCCTAGAGGCAGGGCTCTAATTCAATTCAATAAAAATTTATGAATGTCTACCATGTGCACAGTACTGTTCTAGGTGATAGGTACACAAAGACAAAAAGAAAAGGAAATGCCTGTCCTCATGGACCTTGCATTCCGCTAGGGAATTGCAAGACCTACACAGATAAATACAAAGTAATTTCGAGTATACTAATAGGGGTAGAGGTAGGGGGAAGAATTTGGAGAGCAATTTCTTGTCCCTCCATTGTAAAACAGTCCTTTTGTGAATATTCAAATTGTAGCATGTAATGAAGGTCTCCTGGCCCTAGCTAACTCCACAGGGAGGAGGAATTTGGAATGTCAGATTCTGAGGATTGGTTGAATGCAGTGGCTAGGTTCAGATTGTAGATAGCACTGTTTGACCCTAGGCAAGTCATTTAACCTCATTGGGCCTCAGTTTCCTCATCTGTAAATGAGGGAGTTGGGCTAGATGGCTTCTGAGGTCCCTTTCAGATCTGTGACCCCGTGGTCAAGTCTAATCTCCAAGAATCCTTCCCTGACCATCCCAAGCCATAGTGCTCTCTCCCTTCCCTAAACCTCTGGGATGTTTATTGTCTTGGGGAGAGTTGACATGTAGTCGATTGGATTGTATAGTTATTTTTATTTATGCTTATTCTCTCTATTAAAATTATCATCATCTCTGCTGATAAAAATAGTCGCATAACATTTGTGTAGCATTTTTCAAAAGTGATTTCACACCCATTAATTCATTCAGTCCTCACAACATCCCTGTAAGGAAAGCTGGACAAATAGCATTATCCCTATTTTAGCGATGAGGAGCCTGAGACTCAGAAAGGGAAAAAACTTGCCCAAAGTCATCCAGGTAGTGAGTGAAGGAGGCAGAAATTGAGTCCAGGGTTCTCTGCACGAGATCCAGCTCCTGGGGGCAGGGGGATATATCTTTGTCCTCCACCTATGCAGAGTCTAGGGCTTTGTGTGAAAGCTCAGTGAATGTTGGTTGAATGAAATTATTCTCCATTCCAGATCTGGGGGTTGAGCCCAGATGGACAGAGCTACTTTGGAGTTCCAGATCAACTCCAGGTCTTTATGGCTTTGGAATTCACTGCAGCAGAATCACAGACTCTCAGGGGTGCTTCACGGGCCAGCTAGGTTATAACCCATGCTTGAAAGCCCCTCAAGTGATCAGATTTTCTTTGCATTATGGGAGAAATATCTCCTTTTCAAATTCATGTGGTAAATAACTGCTACTGAAATAGTTCTACTACAACAACTGTTTTCTTCATCTGTAAAACAAGAGGATTGGGCTAGTTGACCTGACCCTGATGATCTAAGTTGACTATGATTTGGTTATTCAGGAACTTTCATGTCTGGAATGAAGCCTGGTTTGTTCGAATTGACTTGGACTCACAATATAATGGATGGCAAGTGTTGGATGCAACTCCTCAGGAGAGGAGTCAAGGTAACCTAATGAGATTAAGTTGGTCTGACTATTTTTGGTTCTTGGATTGGTCATGGTTCAGCTAAATCTTTATATCTTTGGCTAATGGAGAGAAATGGGGAGGATGATACAGATGGTATCTAAGTTACTTCGGTTTGTCTTGGAGATGGTATTTTCCCTAGCAAATTTAGCCTCCTTATTCTGTTTGGTTTTGACTGATAATAAAATGGATTTGTATTCTCTGACTCCACACCGCTTAAAGGCGGGGAAGGTAGGTATCAGGAAGCCATCCTGGGATTTAACATTTGCTAGGGAGAAACTTCCTAAAATACTGCTTTCAATATGTCATTCCCTGACCAAAAACTTTCATTGGCTCCCTTCTGCCCTCAGGATGAAGTCTGAATTTCATAATACAGCCTCACTGCCTACATACCAACTTTATCTCCCATTTTTGTCAAACTTCAGATCCTCTGTTCCAGAGTGGCCATCATGCCATCCCAAATGCAAAACATGCCTTGTGTTCTCCTGTTTCCACCTCTTTTCTCAGTGTCTGTAATGCCCCCACCCCTTCTCTCTGTGGATCTAGATTCTACCCATCTTTCAAGGCCCTGCCACAACCCTCATTGATCTCTCCTTCCCATTTGTGAACTCAGCGGATCACAAAATTTTTATCACTAGAAAAGAATTCATTGGTTAACTAGTCCAGCCCTGTCTATAACAGCCCTGATGGCACATCATTCAGCCTTAACTTAAGGACATCCAGCAGTGGAAAGCTCACTACTTCCGAAAGCAGCCCATTCTTTGGACTTAACAGCTTTTGTGGTAAAGAAGTTCCTCTTTATATAGACTCGAATAGCTCTTAATGTTTTTTAACCACTTGTTGGGCCCTGATCACACATAGCCTGGTGTGACTCATAATTTCTCTTGTTATGAGACTCAGGTCCCTATGTAGACAATGGGGTCCATGAGGTCAGAGGTCATGCCATCTCCTTTTGAATTCTCCACAAGACAAAGGCACTCAGCAATTCCACAAAGTAGAGGTCTTTCTCTTTTCATAGGCTCCTAAGACTTATGTTTGAAAGGGACTTTGGATATCATGTCATCTAATTCCCTTATTTTACCTTTGAGGAAACAGAGGCCCAGAAAGGTGACACGAGTTAACCAAAGTTACATAAATAGTAAGTAAGAGATTCAAGATTTGACCTCAAATCTTCTGACAGCAAGTCTGTTGCTGTTTCAGTTACAGAGTTACATGGCCCAGAAATAAATGCCTCATCTCAGCTTTGACTTTTCCTTATATTAAAGGATTCAATTGGGAAAAGATTTCTGAAGAGCTTGTTATATGTAGAATGCCTTGCTGGGGCCAAAGAAGATACAAAATTCAGATAGGATATGTTCCCTGCCCTCAGTCTACTGATCCTTTGATACTTTAACAAAAATTTTCCTAGCTTTTTATTATAGCCTATGTGTCACACTGATTATTCTTTAATGCGGTTCTGTAGGCCTGCCCAAACTAATGACCCTTCTGCCTGTTCTAGCACTTCTTAAAAAGAATTAGGACCTGTGCTCATCAAAGGGTAGAAGCCTGGCCCTGCCAGGCCTCTCTTTGATCTGCTACAGCACGGTAGCAAATATAAGAACAGAGAGCATGGTCCGTGTCCCTGAGGAGCTCTGGGCCTCAGTCTAATACTCCTGGGAAGCTTATGACAAAAATTCAGTGAGTGGTACAGACAGTGTAATCTATTGGAAGTGAGAAGAGGAAGCAATCCCTCAGAGATGAGGTGTTCAAGGAAGACTTCATGGAGGAGTAGGACTTGATCTGGTTCTTGAGGGACAGATGGGATCTGGAGAGGCAGAGGAGAAAAAGGAAGGACATAGACGTAATTGAAGGGCCTTCTCAGGGTGCAGGGAATGGCACAGGTGGGGATGTCTGGACTGCATCTTCATGCTCTGTCTGACTCCTTGTGCCCTAGGAGTGTTCCAGTGTGGTCCTGCTTCTGTCATTGCTGTCCGGCAGGGTGATGTGAACCTGGACTTTGATATGCCCTTTGTGTTTTCGGAAGTGAATGCTGACCAGATCACCTGGATTATCAACTCTGATAACAGCAAAAAACAAACCTCCTCCAAAACTAGCTCTGTGGGCAGGTTCATCAGCACAAAAGCCGTGGGCAGCAATTCCCGCATGGATGTCACAGACAAATACAAATATGCTGAAGGTGAGGTCCCTGGTCCAGAGACGAGGCTGTCACACCCAGGCAGAGGGCCGTCCATCTCATGCCCTGGGATTCCAGACGTGGCAGGACTCACTCTCTCTCTCTCATTCACTCAGTTAGCAACTATATATTAGCATCTGCTCCGGATAGCTCCTGATATTTGGTGTCCTATGGAATAGAGAGATGAATAAGGCATGGTCTCTGTTCTTCTCAAGCTTGCTGGCTAGGGGAGGTAGAAGCCACGTCTGCAAATGATTCTCTTAGGGAGTGTGAAATGAGTGTCAGCAAGGTATAAAGTGTCACAGAGGTACACAGACAGTGGTAATCAGGGAGATCAGGAAAAGCTTCATGGAAGAGGTGGTCTTAAAAGGCAAGCAGGATTTTGAATGGCAAAGATAAGGCTTTCTAGCATATGGATCAATGGGAGCAAAAGCATCCAGGCTATGTTAAGAAAGGGAGAGCAGATCGTCAATTTGGAAGATAACAATGGGGCAGGAAGGCCACCCGAAGCCAGGTGGTAGATGCCCTCGGGTGCCAGGACTGTGTTTGGGTTGTGTCCTTAGGCAGTAGGGAGCCATTTAGTTTTCAGCAGTGAAGTGACATTATCTGAACAACCTCAAAAAAAGGGGGGGGGGTGGAGCTCTTGTCTCTAAAGAAGGCTGTGATGCCTACAAGCATCAGTCACTGAAAAGTAAGCCAGGAGATGCTGTTATGAAGGGAAGCAAGAAAAGTAGGGGAGAAAATTAAGGCCGTCTAGACCGTGACTATCTCCTCAAAATATCAGTGACCATGTTTGGTCATCTTTGTCATCGTGCCTAACAGAGAGCTCTGTCCCCAGCAGACCTCAGTAAATGTTTCCTAACTGGATGAGTTATGGCACTGGCATCACAGAATGGCACCTGAAATAATCCATGTAGAATCCTAGACTACAGTCTGTGTCAGAGCAAGAAGGAATCTTAAAGCACAGAATAGATGCAGACCATTGAAAGGTCCTTAGAGCCTAGAAAAAGAATGTCATTGCTGGGAGATACCTTACACTGTAGAATCTAAAAATGTCACTGAAGACATAGACCACAGAATGTCAGAACTAAAAGGAATACAGAATAGACCTGAGAACATAGAACATATAAAGTTCTGGCTGAAAAGAACTTTAGAGATGTAATATAATCCAACTCTCGAATTCCACCCATGGGAAAACTGAGGCCCAGAGAGGTGGTGTGGTGACTTGCCTAAGATCACCCAGCTCCTTAGTAATAAAGCCAGGACTAAAATCAAGGTCTCTAGATTCCTACGAGTATGTTCTTTATTCACTCCTTTTTATCTTTCTTTCCCTCCTTCCTCTAGATTTTGTCCTCCTCCTCCATTTCTTTCTACTCCCTCTCCCTCTTCCCTTTCTGAGAGTGCTTTGGGCCCATCCGCAACCCCTGCCAGCCTAGCTTATCCCTACAGGTAATGCCCAAAGCGTCCTGTTTGCTGATCCCGATTCAGAGGATTAACATAGGGGTTTTTATTCTTCCTTTCTCCTGCCCAAGTCCAGATAGACTCCTAGCCTTATACAAATAATTGCTCCCATCTCTAACACACACTGATTCAAAATATAGACGAGAATGTAGTGAAAAGAACAGTAGACTGGCAGTCAGGTGGCCTGAGGTCTCGCCCTGACTGTGCCATCAACTCCTTGCATGACTTTAGATAAATCTCTTCTCTCCAGACCTCAGTTTCCTCATCCATAAAATGAGAGGGTTGGAGTAGATGACCTGTAAGGTCCCTTTCTGAGCTAATATCATCTGTTCTAAGGTCCCTTCCAGCTCTGATATTCTCTGTTTTTATGGCTCTTATGTAGGAAATAGTCATGGGCATAATCAGTGCCAGGAAGAAGATTCTTTGCATACAGACGCTGCCTGCTCCATTCCCACCAACAATCACAACTACATCAGCTTTATGTCACTATTCTGAAGGGACTCTATAACCAAGGGTAGAGACTGTCCCCCAGCCCAAAGTCACAAAGACTTCCCTCTGGAAGTGCCTAAGAGTTCAGAATGAAAATAGGTCTCAGCAAAAAAATGTCCCATGCATCCTAAAGAGGTAGATGTGAGAGTTGACCCATTCCAAGTTAATGTCATGTTAATGCAAAAAGCCTAGAATAAAAGGTGAGACTAGAAACAAAAGAACTATTTAACAAATAGACCACAACTTATTGTAACAACTACTTTATAAAGTATAGTTACAAAGCGAAGCATTAGTACATAAGTTTTCGTATAAGGTCTCTTATTTTTGCCTCACAAAAGCCCTATGATGTAGGCAAGGCAAGTATTATTATCCCCATTTAACAGATGAGAAAACTGAAACTCAGAAATGTGAAATGACTTACCCAGGGTCACTCACACAAGAGTCATTGGCAGATCCAGGACCTGGCTGTTGGTCCACTGTTTTTTCCCCAACTGGCCCCATGCAGCATGGATTGGCTACTTCTATCCCCTTACTGGACCCTTTAAGGGGGAAAATGACCCAGTGCATCCAGGTGACCTAACCTGGGTTCTGGACTCTGCTCCAGCCCCTGCGTGACATGAAGCCGAGTCATTTGACCAGTCAGCCTCAATTTCCTCACCTAATGACGCTAACTTTGCCCTAAGGAGTAGCTCATAAAAGTAGTTGCTAAGCATTTTGCATAACAAAATGCTGAAGACTGAAAACAGGGGTAGGAAGTCCAGATCGTTGGGCAAACCCCAGCAGCTGACCTACATTGCCCCAGCCCCAGTAGGAGCCTCTTTCTGCAGACAGCTTGGGCACAAAAATAGTTACCAGCAGAGCTCTTGGCCCCAGGTGTTCAGCTTGCATCTTGACTAAAGGATGGGAAAAAGCCAAGAGGAGCCAACACTTCAAGGAACTGACTGCTCCGGTAATGTGATTGACAATTCTCCCTTGTAAGCTGGAGCTGAACCTTCCTGGGGCCAAGACAGGAGGAGATTAGGGGCGGGGCCAATAATTCCATCTCCCTTCTTTCCCTTGAGATGCTTTATTTTGTGTGGCAGTGTAAGGGACTGGGGCAGTCACAGACAGTTACAACCTCAAATATAGGCTGTTAGAGCTGGAGTGGCCCCTAAAACATAGACTGTCAGCCTGGAGTTGTCCTGAGATTGTAAGTTCCTTAAGAATAGCATCCGTCTTGTACTGATGTTTGTATCCCTAGTGCCTTCTAGTAGATACTTCATAAATATTTATGGAATTGAAACAAGTCAAACTTAGAATCTTAAAGCTAAGAGGAACCTAAGTAGAGATCGTCCAGGAGTCTGACTTCCCTGTTTTACGGGTGAGAATACTGAGACATGAGGAGGGGCAGCAGCTCACCCTGTAAACCCACAGCAAAGGCAAGACTGGGCCTCAAACCCTGCAGTGCAGTGCGCTCACCACTGTTATAACGCCACTTCCAAACGCCTTAGACTCCCTCCAACACCTTTTCCCTCCCGCTTTGCACAGGTTCCAAGGAGGAGAGGGAGGTGTTCAAGAAGGCTCTGCAGAAACTGAAGCCCAGTTCTGGGGCGTTTGGCTCCACAGCAGCTGGGCCAGAAAACGCAGAAGTGAAGCCACCCAGCATCTCTGGGAAGTTCAAGGTCAATGGCACTCTGGAAGTGGGAAAAGAGGTCAACGTGTCCCTGCAGCTCAAAAACCTGAGTGATGACTGGAAGACTGTCTCGGTGAACATGACAGCCTGGACCATTGTGTACAATGGGACCCTGGTACACGAGGTGTGGAAGGACTCCATCACAGCTTCTCTGGACCCTCAAGAAGGTAATTTGTGAACTCTTTCCTTCATAATTCCCCCTTCTACCACAATATACAGTTGACAGAATTCTCACGTGTACATTATCTGAGAGGGTATTATGTACAGCCTTACAAAGAAGGTAGGCACTGCAGAAATTATTGCCCCCGCTGCGCACCTATCAAACCTGTGGCTCAGAGGGGGCAATCGACTTGCCCAAAGTCACTGAGTTGATACTGTTGTAAAGAAGGTGGGAATGTTGTCCCTCTCAGTGGAATGGAAGGTCCCTGAGAGCAGGGACTGCTTCACTATTGTCTTTGTATATCCCCTGGCCCTAGAACAATGCCTGGCACATAGTAGGTACTTAATAAAGGGTTATTGAATGCTTATTGATTTTATGCTGCACTATGGAAAATAATAGGAGCTGGCTGTAGCAACCTGTAGTACAGTCAAGAAGAGACCCAAAGGATTCCAGATTGTCCAGATGAGTAGAGATGGAGAGAGGGGACAAGCAGTGAAGGACGAGATAATGATAGATAGATCCATATGTTGTCTCCCCCATTAGAGTTTGAGCATCTTAAAATCAGGGACTGTCTTACTTTTCTATTTATATTCCCAGCACTTAGCCGAGCACTTTGCACATAGGAACCGCTTAATAAACGTTTTATTCATTCATAGATAGACAGAACATTTATTAAGAGCTTACTGTGTGCTAGGCACTGTACTAAGCTCTAGGGATATAAATACAAGCAAGCAAGACAAAGCCTGCCCTCCAGGAACTTCTGTTCTAAAGGGGCCTGAGGACACACAGGGGGCTGAAGGAAGGGAAGGCACACACACCCGCAAGGTGTGGAGTGGGCAGGCAAGGACTTAGAGCCAGTGCAGGCCAGCTCTCAAGAGCCATTTGTTAAATTTTCAGGGTGAGCATTTACACCTGGCGAGTCTTCAAATGTTACAAACCAGGGCTTGGGTTATTTGCTGTTTTTGTCCAGATTTGAGAAAGTGATGGTGTAAATGTTAATAATGCAGATTAAACTGCTGGGCCTAGCAAAATCAGGCAGAAATCAACCTATCAGCACCAAGAGACCAGGGCCAGAATCCAGGTCACTGGTGGAAAGAGACTGGGGCAGTCCGGGAAGTATCCTAAGTGCTTTGAGGCTTTCAGATAAAAGATTTTCCCAAAGTTGGGTTGTATATTACAGAGCAATTCCTGAGCTCCAGGGGCCTCTGCCGAACCAGAACTACAACTTTCCCTCTTCCCTGGGTTCTGGTTGGAAAGAAACTGTAACAACAACAGCCCTTCCCTTATACCTTCTCCCAGTGGCAAACATTATAATAATAACAAAAAATAGTGTTTTAAGGTTTAAAGAAATGACATTTTTCTCCACAACAACTCTGTGATGTAGATACCACGTTGATGTTGTTGTTGTAGTAGTATTACTTATTATCCCCATTTTACAAGTGGGGAAACTAAAGTTCAGAGATCTCGTTTCATCCTCACACCAACCCTGAGAGAGAAGTGCCTTTATTATTCCCAATTTACAGATGAGGAAACTGAGGCAAACAGCAGTAAAGTGGCTTGTCCAGGGTCATAAAGCTAATATCTGAGGCTGGATTTAAATTCAGGTTTTCCTAACTTCAGGCCTGGCATTCTTTTCATCTTGTGCCTCTGAGCAGCCTCACAGGTAGGCTGGCTAGGACCAGATTATAAAGTGTTTTAAATGCCAAGCTTAGGACTTTGCATTTCACCTATAAGCAATGAAATAGTGCTTTTGAAGTAATTGAATATTCTCAAGCAGGGGAGGAAGGTGCTTTAGGAAGTTTGCCTTGGCAGTCTAGATTGGAGACTAGAGGCAGGGAGGGGGACTGAGAAGGGAGCTGTTGCTGTAGAATTCTAGAATGTCAGAACTGTAAAGGACAATTGAGATCATCTAATTTAATTCCTTCATTTTGTAGATGGCCTCAGAGGCCAGGTCTGAGACGATCATTTGTCTCTTTGCCTCTCTCAGGCATGGGCCTGTCTAGACTGACTTTGGGGATTGTGTGATTGACATACAGAACCTTTGCAGAGCAGCTATGGGACACAGGAGCTCTGTTTCCAGAGAGTACTTGGAGTGAGAGACACTAGTCAGACAGGCCCCCAGAGAAGTCAGACCCTGGTAGAAGCCCAGGAAGGGCCATCTAAATAGGGTGGGGAGGAGGAAAAAAAGGAAGGAAAGAAACCTGAACCCTCTCCTCCTCTGGGGAAAGTGGAAACAAAGTATGAAGCCAAGAGCACTGGACTAGGACACAGTACACCTAGGTTTGAGGCCTGTCTCTGCCATTAACTCGCTGTGTTACTCATTATGTGTGTGTGTGTGTATATTGGTGAGGGTCCCCTCACCTTTAGCCCTCACTCACAGGGTCTCTACCCTTTGCTACCCAGATGTCTATATCTCACTATGCAACCACAAGCAAATTATTTCTCTCCGAGTCTGTATCCTCATCTATAAAATGAGAATAATAACCCCCGCACTGCCTACCTCACAGGGTTGTTGTGACAGTCCAATGCAGTGATGTATGTGAAGTGTCTTGGGACCATAAAGCAATACATAAACCTGTGCCATCGGTGTTACTCAAGTGGGCAGAATGCCCCAGAGTCCCCCTATAGAGGAGGAAGGAGAAGAGCACAGAGCCACATCCACCCTAAACTTTGCAGTGAGACCAATAGGCAGGTGGGAGGGTCTGAAACCAGTACAGAAACTGCTGGTTTAGGCTCCATACCTCTCCTTAACCTGGCACCCTCAAAGTTTGCTTTGAGTTTGAGATATGCCTTCCTGGCTCATGTGAGTTTTCCTGTTTAACTCAAATGTAGCCTGTGGCTCCAGCCACTTTCTGTGATTCTGGCACGTGAGGGTAGGAAGGAGAGCATCAGTCACATGTTGGGTAGCCCTCCCAGCCCAAGCATGCCTGGGCCCTGGGGACTTACACGTCCTTCATTCTTCTCTAGGACGGGGAGGAAACAACAGTGCCTTAGCTCTTGAAAACTCTCCCTTACATAAGTCTGGCCTCCTGGGAGTTTGCTCAACTTCTTATGGTGGGTGTCCTAGCCTAATCCCGGGGCAGCTGTTAGCCAGATGTGTGACCATCCCATCATCCACAAGGAAGGAAATATTTTTGTCAGCAATTAACTAAGAGGGAAGTCATCCAAGTATTGGCTAGAAAACATTTCCCCAGAGTAGGCCAGCTTCACATTCACCTCCTACGAAAACTCACACTCACTCTTGGATTCTCCTTCCAGAGATGGAATACCCACTGAAGCTCACATATGCTCAATATGAAAACTTCTTGACAGCAGACAACATGATCCGCATCACTGCTGTATGTCAAGTTACAGATGAAGCCGAGGTTGTGGTGGAGAGAGATGTCATCTTGGACAACCCTGCCATTACTCTGGAGGTAGAAGGATGCTCCTGCTATAGGTTGGAGGATGTGGGGGTAGTAAAGGGGAGAGACCCTGTGAGTGAAGGTTAAAGGTGAGGGGACCCTCACCAATACACATACACACTCATTACTTTGAAATTAGTACAGCCATATCTTGAGGGTGCTGAAACCACTGCCATACCCACAACCCCTCAGTTCTTTCGAAGAAGAAGATCCTTCCTAAATATACACAGAGCCAGGGAACTTGGTGCAAACATGACTCCTGCCTAGCACCTAGTAGTGTCTCAAGCCAGGAGTTTGTACCAGACTGTTTCTCTGGTGCCATATTCACATGCCCAGTAAGATACATAGTCACACTTCCTTTTTACCTTCCCCTTTTCCTCTGTCCCAACATTTACCAACCTTTTTCAGTTTAAGACACATCTGTGAACCTCCCAGAGCACACTGGAGACACATAATAAAGGGGGAATGAAGGAAGCCAGGACAACACAGCCAGTGAAGCATGTCTTCAGACTCCACCAGAGTAACACCGTGCCCTGATGGGAAACCGTTGCCAGCTTTTCAGAAGCTTGCTCCCTTCTTGACTACTCATCCTCCTGCACGAGGCAGGCTAGTGCCCCGTCTCCCTCAGGGCATGCTGGCCCACAAGCGGCTCTGAGATTGTCCAAGGCTGAGTCCTCATTCCGATGGAGGATTCTCTGCCTTGAACTGGGGTTTCCTCTCCGAGGACCTCACCTATTCTCCCCAACCCATATATCTCACCAGCTACTTATAGTAGAAAGAGATATTAAAATGGTAGCGCTGAGCAGAGTCACAGAACCTGGGTTTGAAATCCAGTTGTGCTGGTCACTACTTGTGTGACCTTGGGCAAGTCACAGTCTCCTGGGGCTTCAGTTTTCTTCCCCGTAAAATGAGGGGTTTTAACTAGAGGGCATCTGAGATCCCTTCCAGCCCCAGCTCAGTGATGCTCTGAGCCTGTTTCCTCATCTGTCAAATGAAGAGTTAGATGAGATGGCCTCTGAGGTCCTTCCAGCTCTAAATTCCAGAAGAATGCTAACTTTTTAAGACATGTGTGGGGCTTTACAATTTATAAAATGCACTCATTAGCCATTATTGTTCAAATACATTGATATGGATTCGCTGTATCTATTATCTTCTTGGATCCTCAGAAGGATCCAGTCTTATGAGGCAACAAGGCATGTCCACTCCTTTACAAATGAATCTGAGACCAAGAGAACTGAGGAAGCAGCATCTTCTGTAGGGTCCCCTTCTTAGGCAGTAGCAGCGCTGGGACTTGAACCCAGTTTGCATGACTCCCAGAGGGCTCCTCCCTGTCCTGTCCAGAGAGCACTGAGGCACAGAAGGTCTCAAGGCCCTGCCTCTGGAGTCTGACAGCCACTGCAGAGGTGAGGCCAATCTCTCCACTGCCAATATCTACAGTAGAGCCTGGTAGCCAGCAGACACGTGGGCAGCTTAAGTACAAAGCTGCGGAGCTGTACAGGATCAGAGTTCTGATCATGTCATCATCTGGACAGAAGGCCTTCTTTCTTCACTTGGTTTTTCCAGTGTGGATGGGCAGGCCAAACTGCCTGGAGTGGTTACAGATCTCTTCCAGGAAACTGTGCATCTTCTGCAGTAAGATGCAACTAGCAGAGAAATGCTCTATCTTCTTCATGCCCCTGGGAGGCTGGTGGGGCAGGGATCATCCCAATTAAAGGGGGATAATAAAATGACAACATCCTTGGAACATATAGTTGTCCACCAGAGGGGACACCGGCTTCAGATGAGGGGAAGAGATGAGCCAGGGAGGAGAACTGGAGAGAAAAGAAGCTGGGTTACCATCAGGCACATCAGCCTGTGCACAGCCTCAGGTCTGAAGCCAGAATCCTTCCAAGCTGCCTCCTGAACGGCCTGAGAACTTTTCCCCAGCTCTGACCAGTCTGTGCTGTGACATTGTACAGAGGACTCCCCTCTAACCACAGATGGCTTTAAAAGAGAGCCCGATGGGGTAACAAATGGACCCTCTCTGGCACACACTCATGAGGCATGTCTGTTTCAGAGTAGTATCACCAGGTTTGAAGTCCCATTTCACTAATGAGATTTAGGATCAAAGAAATTAAGTGACTTACCTAAAGTGATCCAGTAGCAAGTAACTGAGATAGGATTTGAACCTCAGACTCCAAATACTGTCTTTCACTGTGTTACCCCTGCTGTTCTCCAGAGGCAAACTATATATTCCAAGGATGTTGTCATTTTATCATCCCCCTTTAATTGGAATGATCCCTGCCCCACCAGCCTCCCAGGGGCATGGAGAAGATAGAGCATTTCTCTGCTAGTTGCATCTTACTCCAGAACACTGCACAGCTTCCTGGAAGAGATCTGTAACCACTCCAGGCAGTTTGGCCTGCCCATCCACACTGGAAAAACCAAGTGAAGAAAGAAGGCCTTCTGTCCAGATGATGACATGGAGCTGGATGGATGACCTATGACACTCATCCATCAGTGTGAATAGCTTGGACGGACAGCATAGCCAAACATTAAGGCAAGCCCAGTATTGAACAAAATAGAAAAGTGATAAATTTGGGGAAATTGCAAAGCTCTTTTAATAACCCCAAATTTCTCCCATAAACAATGGCCTATCTTTTTCATACCAGTAGTCTCCAGTGGGGTTGTCTGGTAGCACAGTATGGCATGCTACAGTCTCTGAAGAATATTTAAAATGAGGGTCCCACCGTGAGCAGTAGAGAAGGGCGTGGAGGGTAGCAGGGGGCTGTGAGCCGGCTGCAACACATGATAAATAAGGAAATGTCAAATAAAAGCCAGAGTAAAGGATGTTATTGAAGAAAGGCCCAATAAAAAATGTATAGTCAAGTAGTGAGAGTGAGGAATAAGCCTCTGTACTCCACTCTTACCAACAAGGTGTCAAGAGAAATTGAGTGAGGCCCCTGCATGTTGGGGCATCCCTCTAGCGAACTGGGAGACATGAATGTGTAGTGTAGTCAGGCATGGGTTAGATTGGCCATGGCATTGAGGTCACTGGTCTGTTTGAATAGTTTAAACTCACATGTTATATTAAAAGATCATTAATATTATTATGATTATTATAACATACATTATTGCAAAATGATATTAACTTACTTTCCATTTTTTTGAGTCAATGTTCAAGTATTTTTCCCAGAGTCAAATCGGGAGAGGAAGGGGAACTCAGTGGAAGGAACCCTGACCTAGGAACCAGGTGTCCTGAGTTCTTTTTCTGGTTCTGTCCCTGTCTCCAGGTGACCTTGGAGAAGTCATTTCTCTCTGGGCCTCAGTTTCCTCATCCATGAAAAAGAAGGGGTTGGTCTAGCTCATTGCTATCAAACTTAAATAGAAACAGGACCACTAAAGATCCTAGAAGCCCCCATGAAACTTAGAAACCTCATATTAACATTATGTATATTGTATTTTAAAATTTATTTTTTTAAATATTACCCAATTATCATTAGGTTATTAAATTATTTCCAATTACAAGTATAATTACTCTAGAGTGTTGTCCCTGGGCCTCACTATTGGATGTCTCTGGTCTAAATGACCTCTGAGAGCCCTTCCTGCTCTAATTTCCCAAGTTTCTAAATCTGTGAGTCAGTGGTAGAGCTGGAATTATAAAGCCAGGTTTCCTGGCTCCTACTCATTTCCCTAACACTGCATCTTACACCATCCACTCCCCACTGCCTTCTAGGTCAGGTACAGAGGAGCAGGTACTGGTTGGGCTTGGGAGACAATGCCATAATCTAATGTACATCTTTTTTCCACAGTTACTGGACCAGGCCAGAGTGAAGACCCCTGTAAATGTACAGGTTCTGTTTGCCAACCCCCTGGATGAACCAGTGAATAACTGTGTGCTCACGGTGGAAGGCAGCGGTCTCATGCGGGGCAACCTCAAGATTAAGTGAGTTTTGGGGGCCTCAGCCCTAGGACTAGTGTGATTCAGGAAGCTGGTTTGATTAAATCTAAAGTAATTGGGGGACCCTTATAGTTCCCAAAGCTCAGAGACTGTGCCATCCTTCGGGTGTGACAAATTGAGGCCTGTGTTCTACACTCCTTCTCCAGTCTCCACCCTATCCATGCCAGTTACTATGGGGTTGTAGCCTGTGGGGCAAAGGTAGGAGGGAGAGGACAAGAAGGTAACACCATTGGATGGGCACTCACAAAGGCCTGAGGTTCTGGCACATAAACAAACACAGAGTTCTCTGTAGGACTGGGTCCCTTCTTTTTTCTGGTACTCAATTTCCTCCTCTGAAGAATGTAGACCTGTAAGATATGTATAATAACATGATCATCTCTACCTCCAAGATCTACATCTAATATGATACCTCTAAGTTCAGGGGTGACTGGAGGAAAAGGGTCCTGTAACAGGATACTTGAGGTGTCCTTCAGGCTCACTCTTGGTTCAGGGCTTCCATTAGGGCTGTTAGGTTTGTTCTGCCCAGCCCCAGCAGGCTGTCCCAGGACCACCACACAAAAGATTCCCTAACATTCTCAGCAGTGAAATGAATGGTCTCAAGAAGCAGCAAGTTCCTCATCACTAGAGGATTTTTTATTCATTTTCCCAAAGTGGAGGAAATTCATGCACTTAGTGAGGGTTTGGACAAGGTGACTTCTGAGAACCTTCCAGCTCTAAGTCAGTGACTCAAGAGGCTGTCACCAAGTTCCGCTCCTAACTCGGCCCTGCGGGGATGTCACCTGGGTGTCCCCAACCCTCCAGAGCTTTACCCATTAGACACGAGAACCTGAATCATAGAATATAAGACATCAGAACTGGAAGGGACCTCAGAGACCACATAGTCTATTTGGGAGGAAGAATTGAGGAGGAAACTGAGGCCATAGAGATAAAGTAACACGGCTACACTGGCAGAGTTAAGACCAGAATCCAAGTCCCCTGATTTCCAGCAGAGTTCCCTCTTCGTACAGCACTGTTTGGCCAAAGCGGTGTCACCTGGGGGACGTGAGATTGGGGCAGTTTGTTCTCTTTTCTCCTGACCTCTCCTCTGCTTCTTGCTTCTCTTTTCCCTTTAGGGTGCCATCCCTGCGCCCGAAGGAGCGCTCCAACTTCAAGTTTGAGATCACTCCCCTCAGGAGCGGCACCAAACAGCTACTCATTGACTTCTCCTGCAGCAAGTTCCCAGCGATCAAGGCCTTCCTCTCTGTCGATGTGACCGAATGAGGAGGCTGGAGCTGTCTGCTGTCCAGCTCCCCTCCTGCCTGGATAGACTGGGGTCAAGGGCTTCTGGAAGTAGCCATGTCACTCAGCCAGGGCTGGCCTACCTGGAAAGCCCACCCAAGACCCCGGCTGCTCACACACCTTCTCTTCTCAATATACACACACACACACACACACACACACACACACACAGAGACATTCTTGCTCATATACACACACACATATACACCCTTTTTCATGTACTCTCCCTCTCTTTCACACACACACACACACACACACACTCTCACTCAGTTACTTCTCAGATGGTGTCTGCAAAGGATGCACCCACTTCACTTTTGCACATTCCCCAACAGGTACTTCCTCCTCAGGCCGTGGCTGCCTCCTCTGCTTTTCCTCTAAGCCCCTCCTGTCTTTGATTTGCACTCTACTTGACCATTGAACTTTCAGGGTAGAAATAATAATAATAGTCCCCCTTATTTTGATACAGTGCCTTACAGTCTCCCAAGCTCATTACTGCTTATAAGCCTTACAGTTTACAAAGGGCTTTCACATCCATTGTCTCATTGGATGCTTTCAGCAACCCCATGAGGGTAACAAGGTAGGGATTTTTATCCCCATTTTACAGATAGATAAATTGAGAGTCAGAAAGATTAAGCAGCTTGCCTATGGTCATACAGCTAGTTGGTGGTAGAAGGAGGATTCAAACCCAAATCTGCAGATCCCAAGTTGAGGGCTCATTCCACTGTATCTTTCCCCTCCCTGTCATGGAAGAAGAGGATATTTAGACTGTTTGCCTACTTGAGATGAGTGTTTGTGCTATTCCTGCTTCAACCTCAGGCGTGAGGGTTTGTGGGATATACCCTGCCACCAGATACAACTCCATACATTGAACAATGGTAATAGAAAATGTTATACAACAGCAGTGGTGAAGGACGTCCCACTCTCGTGCCTTCAGAGGAAGGTGCTTCTCTTAACCTTCTCTATTACCAAGCTTGGGCAGAGTTAAAGAAGCCCAGAGATCTGTCCCTGCTGGCTGCCCCCATACGCCAGGTGTTCTTGCACCATGCTTGTTACCACTGCCCTCCACCTCCATTTCCACTCTTGCAGATTTCTGTAAATTTCTTTGGTGAGCTGTAGCTGTAGGAAGTGAAAGCTGGCAGAGCCCTTAGAACACAAAATGTCAGAGCTGGAGAAGACCTTCACAGAGTAAACTGGAAGAGCAGTAGAGATGATCTTGCCTAGCCTTCCCATTTGGGGAAATAGGTCTAGGGAGGAGAAGTATCTTTTGTGGCAGAGCGAGAAATAGATCCCAAGTCTCTATATGGGGGGCTCTTCCCACAAAGAAGGAGGGAAGGAGAGGAGATTTTTGTCTCCATCCATGGAAGGAGGCCATGTGTGTTTGGGGGTGTGACATTATAGTAGACATTCCCTTTCTGTTTTTCCCAAATTGTGGGGCTATGGAAATGATAGAAAGAGGTACTGCTTCTGCCTAGCTGAACCATCAGTCTCATGGCTCAATGTGAGAAAAACAGATAAGCCAACCAGAAAAGGACAAAAAATAAACACAAGTGGAGAGAAACCTTCACTCAGACTAGTATCTAATTAGTTCAGATTAGTCCAAAAGCTGTCATCACTTTCTAGGGCTGGCTTTCTCTGTTAATACCACCCAGGAGATGCCCCTTCCCCCATTCCAGAGCATGCTCATGACATTCACTCATCTCAGTCAAGTATTTAACAAGAAAGATCCTACAACTGTAGACATTGGAGCATAGGAGAGGTGGAAGATACCTTAGGGGAAAGAAAGTGAGACCCTGAAGAGACTTTCAGACATAGATTGGGGTTTTTTTTGTTTGTTTGTTTGTTTTATTATTTTTTTTATTAATTTATTTTGATTTATCAACAATCACTTCCATATGCTTTTGAGTTGAAAATTTTTCTCCCCCTTCCTTCCCCCCACCCTCCCAAAGACGGCGCACAATCTGATATAGGCTTTACATATACATACCCATTAAACATATTTTCACATTAGTGAAGTTGTAAGTAAAAATTAAAACCAGTAGGAGGAACCATCAGAAAGATGAAACAAAACTCAACAGAAGGTAAAAATACGTGATAGTGATTCGACTTCGGTAGTTCTTTCTTTGGATGTGGACAGCATTTTCCATCCTGAGGCCTCTGGAGATGTCTTAGATCCTTGTAATGCTGAGAAGGGTTCAGTTTAACAATCTTAGTCATTGCATAACGTGGCTGCTATTGTGTACAAAGTCCTCTTGGTTCTGCTCACTTCACTCAGCATCAGACCATATAAGTCTTCCCAGGTTTTTTCTGAAGTCAGCCTGTTCATCATTTCTTATAGCACAATAGTATTCCATTACATTCATATACCACAACTTGCTCAGCCATTGCCAAATTGATGGGCATCCTCTCAATTGCCAATTCTTTGCCACCACAAAAAGAGCTGCTATGAATATTTTTGTACATGTGGGTCCTTTTCCCATTTGTTTGATCTCTTTGGGATATAGCCCTAGAAGTGCTATTGCTGGATCAAAGGGTATGCACATTTTTGTAGCTCTTTGGGCATAGTTCCAAATTGTTCTCCAAAATGGTTGGATCATTTCACAACTCCACCAACAATGTATTAGTGTTCCAATTTTCCCACAGCTTCTCCAACATTTATCATTTTCCTGTTTTGTCATGTTGGCCAATCTGATAGGTGTGATGTGGTACCTCAGAGTTGTTTTGATTTGCATTTCTCTAATCAATAACAATTTAGAGCATTTTTTCATATGACTATAGATGGCTTTAATTTCTTCATCTGAGAACTGTCAGACATAGATTGTTAAAGCCTGAAGGAACCTCAAAAGAATTGGAGAGTACAGAATCTCAAGAGCTGTGAGGAACCTGAAAGTCCAGCTGGTTCAACGCATCCCTCTATAGAAATTCCTTCTGCACCATCCCCAACAAATGGCCATCCAGCTTTTCCTCGAAGTCCTCTCCCGAGGGAGAAATCTACTGCTCCCAAGGCAGCCCATCCCCCTTTGGCATAGCGCTGATTGTCCTGAAGCTGAAATGAACCACCTTGTGATGTCTGCCTGTTTCTTCTAGTTGTGTCCTGTGAGCAAAGAGCCCCAGAGAACGGGTCCAATTCCTCTTCCCGTGAGAGTCCTTCAGATACTTCGGAGAGGGGGCAGTTGTCACATCCCCCCTACATCTTCTCCACGTTAAATATTTCCAGTTCTTTCCGTTGATCCCCATAAGGCATGGTTTCCATTCCCTTCCCCACCCTAGTCCTCCTCCTCTGGAAAACCTCCAGTTTATCAATGTCTCTCTTAAAATGTGGAATCTAGAACGTAACACGATGTGATGTACGATGTGATGTGACCCAGACAGAGAGCAGCAGGACTCTCACCTCTCCGGTTCTAGACATAATGTCTCTAGAAAAACAACTTCAGTTCAGCATTGTTGGCTGCCTTGTTGTGCTGTGGTCCACTAAATCTCCCCCTACCCCTGATCTTTTTTCACACAAATTTTATCCAGCTACACCACCCCAATAGTGTGTGAAGCTGATTTTTAAATCTAAATGTAGGGCTTTATATTTATTCCTGTTAAATTTAATCTTAGTAGATCCAGACCATCATTCCAGCCAAAAATTTCAGATTCTAATTCTGCGGTCCAATGTGTTAACTACCTTCCCCAGTTTTATGTCGTCTACAAATGGGATAAAGATGCCATCTGTGCCTTCCTCCAAACCACTTACAAAACTGTTAAGCACCATAAGCCCAAGGCTGAATCTCCAGGGCATTTCACTCTAGCCCTCTCTCCTAGTTGACATCAATGACCATTCTTTTGATCCAATCATTCAGCCAGTTCTAAATCCACCCCATTGTGCTATAACCTAAGCCACATCTCTCCCTGTGGTCCATAAGGAGAGCATGAGAAACTTTGTCAAATGCTTTGTTAAACTCCAGACAAACCATATCTACAATATTACCCTTATCTACACTGAGGACCTGTGATTTCATTGGGGTACAAATCACAACCCATCAATAATTTAAAATCTTACTTGCTTAAGGCTCAGAGGGTAAACTTGCTCATGGTCATAGAGCCAATATCAGTGGCAGGATCTGAACCCAGGTCTTCCTGATTCTAAGTCCAGTATTCTGGAGATATCAGGATATGGAGGAGGGCCTGCCGTGCTATGGTCCATGGGGTCATGAAGAGTCAGACACAACTGAATGACTGAACAACAACATGTCATGATGCTGCTCTGATTAGTCTGATAACCTGTTAATAAAATCTTGTTAAAGCTATGCTGCTTCTTAGCAATCATTGCTTCCCTTTCTGTATGCTCACAAACCATTCCTGTAATAATCCATTGTGGAACTTTGCCATTAATTCAAGTAAATCTCACTGATTTATAGTTCATAGACTCTACCCTCTTCATTTTTTAAAAAATTGCTCTTCATTTGTCTTCATTTACCCAGCATGGTGGGTCCACATCAAAAAAGGTGCTGTACTCTATGAACAAAGCAGAATTGCATTATCTCAAAAGAAACATGAGATGTGCAGATGTAGAGATATCTCCCCTCCAAATGTTCATAAGGACTATTTGTACCCAACCTGAAGTAGAACCTTTTGAGCTCACTGATCAGCCACAGTCAGACACACTGTACCTTGACCCAACATAGTGATGTCATTTTGGTCCTCCTTGACCACAAAAGACAACCACCACCACAGCCACCACCAGTCTTAAGGAGCAAGCAATCAGCAGAAAGCATTATTTTATTCTGGATGTCTTTAATTTATTCAAATGCCTTTCCATTTCCACATTACATTCTGTGGTGATTACACCCCAAATCATCACAGAAGTAGTATTACACATAATTACTATTGTACTATCGGATGGAATATGCCTCCTTACAGTAGGATCTCCAGTTCACCATTTTAATTACCCGTTATTTATGCATTTGTGTGCAGGTATTTGAGACCTGTCCTACTCTCTTAAAGTTCAGTAACAGCAGTTCAGTAATCACATCTGCCAGGTTTTTCAGTGCCCTGATGTATAGTTGGTCATGCCCCAATGACTTGAACTGATTTAGGTCTGGTTGGTGTTCTCTTGCCATTGTCTTAATTAGTTTTGGTTTTAACTCTCAGCTAACCAGTATTGGGTTGAGAACCTTACAAGTCTAGAGGTCCTCTTCCCTGGTCTCCATTGCCTGTTGTTATCATCCTGTCCTTCCCAAGTAGCTGCTGTGTCTTTTCTTGGAACCTCCTCTTCCCTGCAGCACAAGTTGGAAGTCCCCTTTTTTGGCTGTTTTTAGCTGTTCTTGCCCATCTCCCTCAGCTCATTCTGTTAGCACTCCTGATGTTAGCACGCCTGATGCTTTTCTTAGATAAGGCAGTTAGGTAGTGCAATGGGTAGAGCACTGGGCCCAGAGTTAGAAGTACCCGAGTTCAAATCTGGCCTTAGACACTTATTAGTTATGTGACCATGGGCAAGTCACTTAACCTCTGTCTGCCTCAGTTTCCTAAACTGTAATCGAGGAATAATTCAGACAGCTCTTGCTTTATGTGAATTTGTGTAACACACATTTGACTTTACATAAGGAATTCTGAAAGAAATCTGCATTCCACAATACCACCTATGTTAACTTTACTGTACAGTACTGCTCGATCTCTCTCTCCCCCCTTTTCCTCCTCCTGCCCCTCCACTCATCCAACCTGCCATTCACCACCAAAAGAACCCCACCCCCAAAAAAATAAAACACCCTCCAAGTAAAAGCAGAACAGACTTGAGGAAGCAGAGAGACTGCTGCCACTTCCACAGATCATGGACTTGGCTTGAGACCACAAGAGAGGAGACCTTTGCCCTGCTCCACCCACCTCATCCCCCCTCCCCCATATGTCTTGCCCCTGCATGTCTGTTATCCCTCGGTCCAAACCAGAGTACCACGTTTGTCCCTGCACCCAGTACGTTGCCCATCCTCTCCTGTCTATACCTGTGTCTGGCCCCCACATATCTGCCTCCCTCTCACCCCTGTGTTCTTCCTCTCTCTTGGGCCAGGCCACCACATGGCTGGCCTCAGCCCCTTCTCATTCTTCTTCCTGCTTTTGCTTCTGTATTCTCAGCTCCCTTCACCAACTGGAGCGTGGCCCTCTTCCTTCCTACCTCCTTTCTTTCCCCATGTTGGCTGGCAAATTTGCATTACATAAAAACTGCTGTAAGTAGAGGTCTGTGGAATTGTGTACTTAGGTAAAGTCAGAACTGCCTCCCAAGGTTGTTGTAAGAATCAAATGAGGTAGTTTTTGTAAAGCTCCTGACACATAGGAGGTGCTTAATAAATGCTCTTTCCTGCCTTCCTTAGAGGCCTGGGCCAGGCTTCTGCATTCATCCTGTGAAATTCACCCTTGCTTCTATCTCCATACATATCCATTTACAACCTGAGTAAGTAAAAAGGGAATCCCTTGTGAGCAAAAGCATCACTAGAGCTGGGACACATTGGAGAGAAAGCCATAACTCTCAGCAGACAAGGACGTTGTGAAGGTTGTTTTCCCTCACCCTGCCAGACAATGGGGCTAGACAGCAATGCCAAGAGAGCACTGGTTAGGAGCAGCCAGGAATAATGGCTGAAGCTTCCACTATCTAGGCACAGGTAGGCCCTAGAAAATACAACAAGCAGAGATAAGACTCAGAGAGAGCCTAGGCAAGAGGAACCTTTATTCTTGAACCAAGTTGACACTGAGAATTTATATTGTGGGCTCTTTGGGGGTAAAAGTTACTCCAGGATTTCTGGGAGTCCCCTCCAGTTTTTTTTCCAATAAAAACTTCCTCAGTCAATTGGTGAAAATCTAAGTGAGCCAGGGAGTTCCCTGTATATCCACATTAGTCTCTACATACATTTCCGCC